GACTTCATTCAATCGACACTTCCCCAACCAGAGGTCATCAGGTCATCGTCCCTGAGTGGCCCAGACGCTTCAGACCACATGGGAAGATCTTGTGAGCCATCAGACATGTGTGCATGCGTGCATATAGAATGGAAAGTGCTTCGGGGGGGATACAAACATACATCAGCGCTCTCGGGCTCTAGTTCAAAACTATTCTCTGAAGTGCTGGAGAGTTGGTTAATTTCAGAACACTAATGTATTTTGGAAGAGAAAGAGAATTTTTCAAGGCAAGTCATCTCTCATCCTCTTTTTTTCATTCACAGGGCCAGAAAACTGGTATTTCTGGCATGGGCTATACAGCAGAATACTCTATAAATACAAAGCCATTAAATTCCAGGCAGTGGGAACCTGATCGGGGCCTCCTTTTAATTTCCTGACATGAGCTGGCCACTAACCCAATTACCCAGAATCCCCGGAGGAGCCCTCCGCCTCCCCAACAAGCACAAAGAGAGGGAGAGCATATTGCACGGACGTCAGGCCCGGCTTTCACTGAAATCAAATATCTTTTAGAAAACACTTGGGGAAGACAGGCAGGCAAAGGGCTGAGGGGAGAAGGAAATGGAGTGGGACAGGAGGCTGGTGGCTCGAGGGAGGGGAAGTAAGGTGAGGAGAAGGTGAAGTTTGCAGGGACAAGCTGTCTAAGGAGTTGCTGCAACCCCAGAGCTGTACTAAAGACTTGGGGGGCCCCCGTGAAATGCAGCAAGTGGTTTTCCAGGCTCTGCTGGCTTACAGGCTGTCAAGCCAACCCTAGCCAGGCTGTGAAGCCCGCCTGTGAGGGCAGAGCTTCCCCACTGTCCTCTCATCCTGACTTTAGACCCCAGGCAGGGGCCAGCCCAAGACAGACACCACCTCTAAGATTCCCACCAGCAAGTCCAGGAGGAAAATCAGGGCAGCCGGACACCAGTCTGTCTCCCCTAACACAATGGGCGGGCGGGCTGCTGAAAGTTGAATCCTATAGTATTTTAAGCACACCCAGAAAGCAGACATCTTAAAGCAACCTCACAGTGGATTTCACCAAGGAGCTGTCCCGTCTGGTCCCCAGCTTGACCTGCTGCTGGAGGGCAGGTTTCCAGACCCCTGCTCTACAGATAGAGATGTGGGGGCCCAGGAGCGGAAGTGAGAAATGATACACACAGCACTAACACCTCAGAGCCAGGAGGAGGACGCAGGCACCAACTCCTAGCCCAGTGCAGGTTTGGTATTCAATTTTTTATAAAGAGAATAATCACTTTTCTCCCCTGAAAATGCAGATTTTCATACACTGGATTTGCTTGAAGTGACACAGACCCTTGGACATCACCCACATTCCACAGTTGATGATTCCAGAGTCAACAGCAGCCTCAAGGCAGGAGCTGAGCCGAAGGACCACACATCTGGCCTTTTCCCCAGCAGCTGCTGGGACCCCCAAATGATGTGGCGGTCTCTCAGGTTATTTTACTTAAGAAAAGAGAAACTGTAAGGGCGTCCAGAGCTGCTGGAGAGAGGAGGGGAAACAGCGTTCAGATGTGTGGGTGAGATGGGAGGAAGGGGGAGCCAGCATGCACATTCTCCTCTGCCCAGCCCCCTGCCCCCTGTAAGACCCAGGACCCAGCCCCTCACTCCCCCAGGCCTGAGGCCCACCCACCGTGGAACCTTAAAGATGGGTTCTTTAAAGATAAGCCCCCAGGAAGGCTGGAGTTTGCCTTTGAGAATTAGAGGGAAGACAAAGGGAGCATGCGCTGGTCCAGGGGGGCCCGGGCTTCTGCATATGTGGGGGAGGACCCCAAACAGCAGGAGTCAGGGGCAGTTGCCAAGAGCCCTGCCTGGCAGGGACCCACACTCCTCCTCAGGGGGCCGCTCCCCGTGGAGCTCAGATCCTAGGATCTTGCCAAGGCTCTGTACTGCGGGGACAGAAATGAAATGGAGGCGCTTGGCTTTGTCCACACTCAGGAGCCTTTGTGTCATCTTTTCCCCTTTGGATTTAGAACTGCCAGCACTGGGGGTGGGGGTGGGGGAGAGTGTTCTGGTGACAGCCCCTTCCTCCTCCAGGCTGGGCCCAGGAAGTTTACACCTCAGCACATCTGCCTGGCTCCTGTGAACAGCCTTGGACACCCCAGCTGCCACCCTAGTTAGGCTACACAGAGGACATCCTGTAGCCTATGTCCCATCCTGCGTCCTGAGCCAACCACAGAGCTATTCACAGCAGGGAGTGGTCAAGGTTGGGGCTCACCCTGCACATCCTCCCCACCTGAGGCAGCGTTTCTCTCAGGCCCGCATCCCCCAGCATCCCCCACCATCATCCTGGGATACAGCATCCATTTCACTTCTCTTAAACGGTTGACTGGGTACCTGAGCTGCTGCTGCCAATTGTGCAATTGGCCACCCACTTCCTTGCCATCAGTGTATCCCCTTCATCATTCCCCCTTTCTGGGGGGCCACTAGGAAGTACCCCCACTCTCTTCCCAACAGTGGGTAGTCCCTAAGGAGACTGTTCAGTGTTGCAAGATAGTCCGGGGTTTCGAGTGGCGGTCCCCACGTTTTCCCCATCTCTCTCTCTCTCTTCCCTGCTCTCTAGCTCAGTCCTGGGGGGCAGGGGGACAGCCTGGGGTTGGAAGCCTCCCCCATCCCTGACCTATGCCATGGGGGGCAGACACAGCGTGGAGCACAGGGAAGCTCCAGGCTCTGGGCCCAGCTCCCCTCAAACCAGCGTGTGACTGAGGGTGGACAGCCATCTTGCCTAGCCCCCGCAGGACTCAATTTTGTCATCCCCAAAATTCAGGAGAATATTGATAACAATCAGCTTCCTTCTGCTCTAAGTTCCTCAGATGCTGTAAAGTAAGAAAAGAGGCCACACGCTCCAACCAGGAAAGCCCGTTGGACAGCTGGCCCCTAGTGTGATGGGGGTCTCCCATCCAGCTTCCCAGAACAACGTGGCAGCCCCCGCCCTCACAGACCAAGAGCAAGGAGTCTCTCCAAGGCTTACACTCCCTCAGGATGGTTCCGCCACGGAGGGGCAGTCAAGAGGCCAGCGCTGAACATGCTTCTGAGGGCCTTCGTTCCTCAGCTTCCTCGCTGGGAACCCCAGGACGCTCGGAAGGAGTGGAAAGAGCCTGGTGTGGGAGTCAGGGGACCCGGATCAGTTTGGGTCACACCCTACAGAGGTGTAGACCAAAACTGTGAAGACTCAAAATGACCAACACAGTCTTTCAGCAGGTCCAAGTACAGCCCATTTTTAATCTAGAAAGAGGGCTTTTCTCCTGTTGATCCCCCAGAGAAGCAGCTGGCGTGTGTTTAAGAGCTGAGTGGCCGGGGCTGGCCCCATGGCGGAGTGGTTAAGTTCGTGCGCTCCGCTGCAGCGGCCCAGGGTTTCGCCGGTTCGGATCCTGGGCGCGGACGTGGCACCGCTTGTCAGGCCATGCTGAGGGGGCATCTCACATGCCACAACTGGAGGTACCCACAGCTAAAAATATACAACTATGTACCGGGGGGCTTTGGGGAGAAAAAGGAAAAATAAAATCTTTGAAAAAAAAAAAAAAGAGCTGAGTGGCCTTCTCCATCTCAAAGGGGTGAAATGAAGCGACTAAGGAGAAATGCAGTTTAGAGGCCAACGTGCTGTGTGGACACAGGGGTAGTTGAGGAACCATTTCAACAGCTTCCGTTTCAGAGGAGCAGGCGCCTGGCTGAGGGGAGGTGAAGACGGGGAACCTGGGAGGGACAACGGAGGGAGGGGAGCCACAAAACGCCAACGTCCAAGTCCCAAGTCATCCTACTGACAGAGCATCTTAAATTTGGGCCCCCTTCCCCAGTGTGCGCACAGAGAGGGGGAGGGGCGGAGGGCCTGGGGCTCCTAAAGGCTGGGCTGGGCTTCCAGAAACCCCCTCCCAGCGAGGGACTGCATTCCAGTCCTGCCCCTTCCTGTTCTCTCCCGGCCCCTCCCCATCATCAGGTGATCCCATCATCAGCACACACCTCTCTTCCTGCCTCCTCCCACTTCTGGAAGGATCCCAGGGCCCAGAATCATAAAAGCTGATCTGTAAGAATTTCCACTGGCTCCCCTTGAAAGCTGGAGAAACACACACACAGACATACACACACACTACCCACATCCCCCAAAATGGTACCCAACGAGGGTCATCAACCTGAGCAGATCAACAGGAAAGGTGACGAAGAGGACATGGAGAGCAGGGCTGCCCTAATGATGAGAACCACATGTCACTTTAAATTTTTTGTAGCCACACCAAAGAAGGTAAAGAGAAGCATATGATATTAATGTCATAGTATGTTTTGTTTAACCCAATGTATCCAGAATATTACCATCTCAACATGCAATCGTTTTTTAAAAATTATTACTACCCTATTTTACACTCCTTTTTATCATCCTAGTAAAGTCTTCAACATCCAGCGTATATTTTACACTCAGAATGCATGGCTTGTGCTGCCGTGTGGGACGGCACAGCTCTGGAGGAGAAAGAGAGACCAAGGCAGAGAAAGGAAAGGGAAGGGAGAGGGCAGGGGGCGGGGGACAGGGGAGGGGAGACATCTGCCAGGTGACAGCCACGTCCTGTCCACCTGCGGAAAGCAGAGGCTGTCCTTCGCAGGTGAGGGGTACATTCCGTGTCTCCCTGGGCCTTGGCGTCTCCGCTCCTTGCACCCCACGCTCCATGGGGCGCTCCATGGGAGGTAATACAGCATGGCACACCGACCCTCCCAGGGTGGAGCAGGAGCTAGGCCCAAAGGAGGACCTTCTCCAGAGTGCCAAGCCAGCTTTCTAGGGCCCAAGCAGACCAGGGTCTTAACCTGGGATGCACGGAGGGACTTACGGGTCTGCGGGCCCTGAGGAACCCTGTGCACGTGCGCCGCCCCAAGGAGAAGGCCCACAGCTGGCAGGTGTTCTCCCAAGGGTCTGACACTCGCAAAGAGAAGAGTCTCACCAGGACCCGGGCCTTGGCTGAGCCTCGGCGCGGGCGTGCGGGACCTCTTACCTTCCTTCAGCATCCCCACTTTGAGGCATTTCATGAAGCGGCAGGCCTGGCAGGACTTGCGCCTCCGTTTCGTGATCTCACACTCGTTGGTGGCCGGGCAGCTGTACTCGATGTTCCCTGTAACCAGACACAGACAGGGTTGCCAGGTGCCATCCAGGGGCCCCCACCCACTGGCCAAAGGCTGGATGGGGATTAACCGGGTAGAGCTACTATTCCCCCCACCCCGAGGCTCCCATCGGCAGTGGGTCTCAAAGGAGGTGTTCCAGGTACTTGTCAAAATGTTCCCAGCTCTCTTAAAAACAGAGATCGCAGTTCCAGAGGTCTGGGTGGGCTAGGCAGCCATGGCTTTGAAACCACCACTGCGCTGGGACATCGGAACTCACTGAGCTGGCATTTTATCCCAGGGGAGAACAGGACCTGTGCTGACCGGAACATCAGGGCAGACCATTGGCCCCTCTGCCCTCCAGCCCGGGGCCCCCAGCTTGATGGAAAACCCTGTTGGAAGCTCTGAGCCCACAAAGACCACAAGACCACAAGGGCCTGGATTCCACATCCCGCTGCAGAGGCCCAGGCCACCCAGCTCGGCTGACTGAGGAAATCCCTTTCCTCTCACTGAGTCTGTTTCCTCATCTGCAAACCAGTGTGATATCTACTAGGTGAGTGAAGGATTAAGCAAAATCGTGTATGTAAAATTGCTTTAAAAACTGTAGAGGGGCTGGCCCCATGGCCAAGTGGTTAAGTTCACGCGCTCCGCTGCAGGGGGCCCAGTGTTTCATTGGTTCGAATCCTGGGCGTAGACATGGCACTGCTCGTCAAACCACGCTGAAGCAGCATCCCTCATGCCACAACTAGAAGGACACACAATGAAGAATATACAACTATGTACCAGGGGGCTTTGGGGAGAAAAAGGAAAAATAAAATACAGGGCTGGCCCCGTGGCCGAGTGGTTAAGTTCGCACGCTCCGCTGCAGGCGGCCCAGTGTTTCGTTGGTTCGAATCCTGGGCGCGGACATGGCACTGCTCATCAAACCATGCTGAGGCGGCGTCCCACATGCCACAACTAGAAGGACCCACAACGAAGAATATACAACTATGTACTGGGGGGCTTTGGGGAGAAAAAGGAAAAAAAAAACAAAACTGTAAAGCGTTGTTCAAACTGAGTGGGTGGTTTTACAGCACAGTTCATTACTGCAGAGGGAACTTGTGATTAATTTTCCATGTCACCCCTTAAATGGGTTGTCATAAGGGCTACTGTGAACCTGACCCCATGCTCCCAGTAGGCTGTGGACCCCATGAAGTCAAGAACATGCGCTGTTCACCACTCCATGAAAGAAACTTGTTGAAAGAACAGTCTGCTGAATCCTCATAGCAACCCCGTGAAGTAGGTGCTGATTCTATCCCCATTTTACAGATGAGAAACCTGAGGTTTACAGAGTGGTTCTGTGCAACGTAACGATATGGGTCTTACTTAGGTAGAACCAACCTTCAAATGCTCTGGGGAGGCCACTCTCCCTTGTAAGTGCCTCCTCCTGGAGGGCTGACAGTGTGGTCAGGAGAGGCTGTGGCTGCCTTCCTAACAGAGGGACATTGCACCTGTCCTGCATGCTCTTACCTGTCTGCACTCATTTCACACAGATGCGCTGTGCACCTGTCACATGAGAAAGAAAAGGCAATCGGAAGGTACAAATGCAAGCCAGCGGACCCCGGTGCTGTCTTGTTATATTGTGTCTCCTGGTCCCCATTCCAAGGTCTGCCCAAGCCTGTGGTTTTCAGAGAACAGACTCTCAGAACTAGTGCAAACCTTGCATCCCCACCCCCAGCCAGACACACCCTTCCTGAGGGAGCAGAGAAGTCATGCTGAGAATGCTGCCTGCCGGGGAACCTGAGGCAGGCGTGCTGTTGGGCCACCTCACCGAGCAAGGATGCTGCCTGGCACAGAGCAGACTCTGAAAAGCTGTCCTCAGCCTGGTACGTCCTCAGCCCGGGGTTTGAAAGGACTGTTCCAGGCCTGCCTGTCTGAACCCTCCACACGTCACTGCATCCACTTCAGCAGCAATAACAGCCACCTTTACTGTGTATCTACCACGTGCACCACCTGCATCAGCTCCCTCGGTCCTCATGACGACCCTCTGAGGAAGGCCCACCAGTGCCCATCGCACAGACCGAGACACTGACACTCGGGAGCCAAAGCGAGCTACCCGGGGCCACCCAGAGCCCTGCACCACCCCTGCCCCCACAAGAAGCCTGGGGAAATCAGACAGGCCCCTGTCGCTGACCCAACAGCTGAGGTGGTCTGGGGGAAGGCGGGGGTGGGGGGGGTGGGGGGGGCTGTCCTCCGGTGTCCTTGTGCCTCAGCCTCCCCAGGTGGCCTATGGAAGCCATTCACTAGAGGATTTTCTGAAGCGTAAACCACATTCCAGCACTGACAAAGTGCTTCGAAGTGACAGAATTATTGAACCCTAATTCCGAGGTGCCTAAGTGTCGTGAACACTCACAGAGCACTCACAAGAGCTCACTGAGTATCCCTCTCCCCATTCTGTACCAGTGAGGAAACTGAGGCTCACAGAAGCCGACTTCCCTGGGGCACTTTAGAGATCTCTCTCTCAAGTCCAGCAGTCCCATTTCCTGCAGGGAGGGGGCTGGAGGTCATCCTCTGTGCCGGAGGATGGGAGAGGACAGGAAGGGAAGGCGTCAAGACTCTCTGTGCCTCCGCCCCTTATCCAACCCTAACCATTTCTCAGGTCACTCTGGCTGCTGTGGCTTCTTGGGAACAATTTCAGTATTCACACAAGCATGGCAAAATTAAAAAGACAGAAAGGAGGAAAACACATACCTAAACGAATTCATACGAGTTTGTCCTGCCTTAGAAGGCTCTGAAGAATCTGGGTCCTGCCCCCACCCCACCCTACCCTTCTCTCTCTAGCCTCAACATCCCCCTGGCTCTCCATAATTATCAGTTCCTGGAACGCCACATCTCCTAGGCTTCTGGGCCTTGGAACAAGCCCACTCGGCTCCCTCCGCCTCCTCGCCTGGCCGTCCTCCACCTCCAGGTCCCACTCAGGCAGGTGCTCCTTCTCCTCCCATGGCCTGTGCTGTGACTGTCTGTCGCCTCCCCCTAGACTGGCTCCGCTCTGCGGTCCCAGTTCCTGGCACAGGAGGTGCTCAGCACACACCAAGAGCTAACACCGAGGAGTGCTTATTAGGAAGCAGCTAGAGTTCTGCTTTTCATATAGTGAACCTTTCATTTTCCCAACAACCCTGGAGGTAAACATCTTTCTCTCCATCTTAGAGATGAGAAAGGTGAGCAGAGTCCAGGATGAGGCAGAGCAAGGACTTGAAATCAGGCGGTCTGGCTGGAGTCTCCGCTCTGACCCACCGTGCCCACTGCAGGCCTGCGTTCACCCGGCATGGTAGCTGGTGCCAGGTGAGTTACCACCACTTGCACGCTGCTAATTCTCCCCGTTCACCGGTGTCAGCTGCACGGCCAGCCTGTCATCCCTTGAAGAAGGATGATCCCAGGCTTTTGCAGGGTTGTTGCTCCAGCAGAAGGGTCAAGACGTGTCTGTTGATTTGGCACTGGTGCTCTCCCAGGACAAGAGGACTGAGCGTTAACAACAAGAACTCAAGCGATGTTCTTGACCTTTGTGTGTGTGTGTGTGTGTGTGTGAGAGAGAGAGAGAGAGATGGAGCAAGAGTTCTAATTTTATTTATTTATTTTTGTTCCTTTCAATTTGTTTTATGGCCCCAGCGGCTAGCTGCCAGCAAAGCCAGGCTGGTGGCCTTGTAATTTCTGTAAGTGCCTCCTCGATAAAGTGATGAGATTAATTCATCAGAATTCCTGTGGTCTCTTGAGGGCAGTCTAGGGGCGCTCAGGAGTAGGGAGGGGCATCTGCAGTATGCACGTACACAGACATACACACACACGCACACACTGCCAGCTGAAGTGTGGCAGGTTCGAGGGGAGCTCTTATAGGACGGGGACATGGCCAACAGCTAGCATAAACTCAGGGTTCTAAGCTGGGAGTGTTCTAACCCGCTCAGTATAGACATATGCAGACTCTACTCAGGCAAGCCACCTATCCCCTCTGGGCTGCAGTTTCCTCATCTGCAAAATGGGCACAGTACGCTCTCATCTCATAAAGTGCAGCTTCCAGGACACAAAGCTCATAAAGGGCTTGGTGAAGTGCATGCACGGGAGAGCAATGGGCAAGGCTGCTATGCTCACCCTTACATCCAGAGAGGGCTGCCAGGGTGATACAGCCAGAGACTCCGAGAGAAGTCTCTTCTAGGTGTCAGACCTGAGGCTAGCCACCCAATCTGACATTTAAGCACATTAACGTCAGCCTCCCCAAGACAGACCTCAGAGCTCACGCTGCATGTGCCTGTGGGAGGAAGGCAAGAATCCCTGAACCTGACCTGGATTCTGTGTGGCCTCCAGATGGAGAGGAAATCCCCACCATCAACTCTCTTTGATCCTGTGCCCCAGGAAAAGGGAACCCCAGGGGCGTCCCCATCAGCTGTCCTTGAGCAGCTGCAGGGAGCGGCAGTCCCCTCTCGGGGCTCAGGGAGGTGCAGAGCTTAGATAAATGGCTCCCGGGAATGCACGGGCGCAGAGGCCGCTGGCTAACATCAGAGCCTGAATGGCCATTTTAAGCCGCTGGTGTGAAAAGGCTAGGCTGGAAGTCACTTGGTTCCACACCCTTATTTCTCCCTCTCCTGGAGGACAGAGCCTACCCCTTTCATCTCTGCGTGGTCCACTGTCCTCAGCCTTCCGCCCGTCCCGCCTCCTTTACCCACTCGCTGGATGATTTCATTCCTGCCACTGGCTTCAGCTAAGGTGTCACTGGCAAGGATGGGCAGCAAGATGCATGGCTTGTGCCTAACACCCTGAGATCCGTCTGCCTGCTGCCTAGTTCCACCTGGCAGTCCCGTGGGTTCCTCACACTGAAGCCATCCCCAGGCAGCCTGCTCCTCGCACTGTGTCCTTGTCTCAGTGAAGGGGCCACTCGCCACCCCGGCGCTGAGGTCAGAAACTGCGGTGGCATCCGGGATTCTTGCCTCTCCTTTACTTTGCAGGTCCTTTCCGTCCTGCGGCCCTGACACGTCCTCGCTCCTTC